TCTGCTATGGTGGTTTAGGGTTTGATTAATTTGTCCATCTACTGTAGTAGCTTCTTAGTTCCTATAGACTATAGATGTTCCTAGTAGTAATGGCCTCCAACCTATACAATAGCGAAGGCCTCCACCGTGCGTGGCTTCTTGTTCCTTTGGGAAAGCAACAGTCTTAGGTCATTCGCCATTGATTCCTGGAAGAGCCTCTCAGCCCTCAGCGCTGAACATTTTTGGTTTCTGAGACCAACACACGATGCCCAGCTTCACTGATCGAGTGAATGCTAAGGATCGCAACTCCTGGCGAAATCTTCCGAGACGTTGCCGCGACTGAGACAAGCCTATAAGCCCTAACCGGGCACCGAGCGGAAAACGGACCCTGAAAGAAAACCCCACATCTTCGGTGTGAACGATGGCGAAACGGGTCCGGAAGTCGGGCCGCTCCGCTGGTCCGACCGGTCCTCCGAAACCGTCCGGACAGGCCCCGACCGGTTCCGGACGACCTCGTTTCGGGACGACCGGTTCCGGCCGCGGCCGGAGAAGACCAGAGGTCCGTCAAAGCTGTATGGCACCTTTGTCTGTTGATTTATGACATGATGCACCCATTTTGTGGCGCCCAAGTGATAAAGACATGGATCATTGCCAAGACATGGGTAAAGCATGGACGCTCAAGTCTCGCGAGTGTCGCCATCGGAACTCCTCAACCCAACGTCTGTCACTCCAACCTCTATGGGTCCCAGACCGCGACGCTCCGATGCGGAGCTTGGAAAGAAATGGCGCCACATCAGCAACCATCAACTGTCCACGTCGCCAGTCGAACGGCCAACAAACCGAGGTTGCGAGACCAGGACCCCTAACTGGGACCGTACATCTGCGGTCGAACAAGGGCGAGCGAACCTGTCGGATGGCCACTTGACGAGGCCATGGCCCGTCACCGTGCCTTGCTCTTGAAGTTCACCAACTCGTGTGCCACCGTCGCCGCCAGCTGAGCCTCCAGCGCGGCCAGCTGTGGGCATTGGACGGCGGCCTCGGACGACGAAGACGAAGCCGCAATGAAGTTCTTCGCCGAGGCCGAGGCATTCCCTGCAAACGGGCGCTAAAGAATTAAAGAAATCACACGGTAATGTATAGACTCTTGATGAGTAAATCCCCCCGTTTGAAGTGGAAATCTTCTTTATGGGGGGGTTCTGGACGTCGCTTGGAAGAATATTTATATAGTGCCTCAAAAAGAAGCGGAAAAGGTCTGTTGCAAGGGCACGTCACAACCCTTAGCTTCAGGACATATCTTCTTCACGGAAAGGCTTCATGCACCAATACCGTGGCGCCATGCACCTTCCCGGATGAAATGCCCCCCAAGAGAATGCAGAGTAGCAAGAAGAACTCGTGAACTTCCGCTGTGCACGGAAAATTCCCCAGAGAATGCCGTGGTTGCATCGGTCGCAGGACCAAAAAAAGGGGTAGCATGCCGCCCAGACGCAGGTGGACCCATGGGGAGCCGTGTCCGCTAGTCTTGCCAAGGGGCACTAGAGTTGGCCAAGGGCACCGACTCGATTGGACTCGTCTCAAATCACTCGGCTCATCTGTACGTTGGACTCTCTAGTAGGTCCCCGGGGTGTTCGCTGTCGAAGCTGGAGCCTCGAGGGGATCCCGGTGAAAAACAAGTCATCCACCCTGAAGCACCGAAAAAACCTGCGCACCTCCGAACCCTCGGTGGGCACGTCGCTTCCACCCAGACGCTCCGTTCACAGCTCCTGGTCCCTCAAAACCCTAGGGATTTGAGGGTCCGGCCCCTACTGAACGGAGGGTCCAGGGTCGCGTCTGGGCAGACCATGGAGACGGCACGCCAAACACGACCCGCCCCACGAACGAACTCACGGTCACGTGGGCGCAACCGTGCGCACGGTCACGTCACGTGTCGACACCCCCGAGGTTCGCGGGTTCGGTAGTTCGCCCCCGACCCCAAGATCTGGTCAAACAGATACCCACCTGACTTCCCTAGGGATCCAGTCGTACGTCCCCAGGTTCGGTACACTTGGACCCTCCAAACCTACATAAACAGTCTCCAATCACCGTACCTGAGAAGGTATGACTGGATCCCTAGGGCTTCATCTCTTGCCGGTGACCCGAAACATTCTCGATCCTCCCGGTCCAGGGGCCCGGGTCCCAAGCGTCCGATGGGGCGGACGGTTTGGGGTCCAACGGCAGCTCTAGGCGTCTGGACACGGAAGAAGACCACCAGTGCCCCATGATCCGAAGCCTTCAGCCTCTGAAGGACCTGAGAGATGCTGAAGGGTCGATCTCAGCGGGAGTCGACCGGTGAGATAGTGAGATCTCACCTTTTCGGTGGTTTCAACTCGGAACAAATACGGTCAGTGCGATCCATCATCCCAAGTACATGTTGAACACCAAAATCCTCTGAAACCACCCAGACAAAATCGGTTGCTCACAACCGAACCAATCCCCGGGAGGTCAGGACTGCGAGTTTGGAGCGTCCAGATGTGTATCACAAGCTGTGGAACTTGGCCCATGTCTGAGGTGAGCTCACATCCTTTCATTTCAGATCGCGCCAGTCTGAGAAACGCCAACGGTCCATGTCTTTACCGACAAATCATTAGCGGACATCACCGGTTCAGCTCCAAAAACCAACACCCCAAACACGAACACAAGCAAATCGCTTTGGAGGATTCCGCTCCTGCTCCTTGGGCCGCTTTCAAGAAAACAAAACAGCAGCGGTTGGCCCAAAAAAATGGTTGGCCCGGCACCTGTTGCTCCACCGCTGCAAGGAAGGCGGGGTGCAAGTTGATCCGAAGCCTTGGGGTGCCGGAACCGTGCCGATGGAAGGATATACGTTAATCGGCAGACCCGGCAAAGCTCAACAAACAAATGGGTTGGGTAGACTGGTCCACGTTCCTTCTTCCAGGTCACTTCTCAAGGTCTCGCTCTTTTACATGCACCCACATGGTTCCGTACGGGGTAATTACTTCTCGAGGTCGAAAATCGCTCTCACAGTCGTCTCTGAGTCGTCTCTGAGTATCCCCTCACCCTCCGGGGCGTCGGCATGCCGAAGGAAGACACGATATTGGCCATGGACTGGTCCGAAAACAACGCAATGTGCTCCTGGCACCACCTCACGTCGGCCGCCCTCGAGCTTCCTCGTGTTCCACGCAGAGTCGCGCGTCGCGAGACAAGAGCCCCGTCGGCTCGGCGAGCGGTCCCGGTGTCGAGGCGACACAGCCCGAACGTACGGGTTTCGCGGGGTTTTTGTGGGTGTCGTGCTCCCCTTCGAATTCTGTCTGCGGAGGGTTCATGGTCGTACCCGGTGGGTCTGGCCAGACCCACGAGGCCCAAAATGCCTGACTGTCCGGGAAGTGGACTATATAGACACTGATCTGAAAACGGTCGACCTGAATGTGGTGGCACACTACCAGCTGAACGCCAAGCGTCCCTCCCCAACCGTCCTCTCACATTTTGCTTTTGGGGGGGGCATCAACTCGATGCGTTGAACAACGAAACCGATGCGTTGAAGAACCTCACCAACGTGTCACCAATGTCTTTCAGCCTTTTGGCCATCAACTGGCAATCCATTCCATCTAAGAATTCCGAATTAGGATTCTCGTCTTCTCGCCATCGCTCTTTTGTCTGGCAAAGGCAACAAGCGTCGCGATGCTACCGCTTTGGGCACTTCTGCGGCAAAATATAATGGTGCCCCCTTCTACAGGGAGAAATGGATACTATGGGTCTATGATGTAGACTCTTGATTACATGTCAACCCCCCATTTGGGGGGTGATTAATCCAGAGTGTACATCCAATACATATATATATATCTTTTGGCCGGCGTTCACATCCTGTGTTTCTACAGCACGGCTGTCCAGGCGCCAAAAAAGAACAACACGTCTGGCTCACAGCGCTCGTTGATCAACGGAGGCGCTTCAATCCTTGAAAGCCATTCTCCGTGGCCACCTTCCAGCTTGCGCTGAAGGCAGACAGCCAGGTGTCTTCGTTCAACATAAACCTCAAGCAGATCGTCAGCGGGACCCACCTTTCAATCTCCATGATTAGGTTCTATTCATGACGAATGTGACAGCGCTGTGGCTGTAGGCACTTTGAAAATAGTTCCCCAGAAAAGAAAAGTAAATTACACCAGCATAGACCCAGATAGCTAGGCAGAATCCCACGACCTGTTGACATGCGACTGGCTGGAACAAGAATGTACGCAGCCTGCACAGCCAGCTTACGGCACCTCCACAGCGCGCACAATCAGCTGACACCAGCACCGGTGCGCTTTGCCAGCTGACAACACCGGCAGCGGCGCCAGCACCCGACCAGGGCCGCCGCCCGTCTTAAACGCGCGCTCAGCCAGCTCACAGCACCAGCACCCAGGACCACCACACCAGCACCAGCACCGACACCCTTTCGAAAGCGCGCGCAGCCAGCTCATTCTTATTTGCAGCAAGAACCCCATAACTATCCCTATTTGGGGAATAACAACGTATGATCTTGCGCGTATAAGCTTATGCGTGACTGCTGGCACTTCATTGTCAGAAGCGGCGCTTGGTCACCCTTCACCGCTGCAAGCGGCTGTTTCTTACCCTTCACTGTCAGAAGCAGCGGCTGTTATCACTTCACTGTCAGAAGCGGGCACCAGCACCAAGCACCGGCACGCCAGCTCACGGCGCCCACACAGCACCCAGCACCGGGCACCCAGCACCCGGCACCCTGTCTCCACCACGCGCACAGCCAGCACCCAGCACCGGCGCCCAGTCTCCAACACGCGCACTCACAGCACCCAGCACCAGCACCACAGCCCACCACACCAGGAGCCGGCACCGGCAGCCTGTTTCCACCACGCGCACAGCCAGCTCACAGCACCCAGCACCAGCACCAGCACCCGGCACCAGCACCCACACCGGCACGTCTTTTGAAATAATAAGAACCCCATAGCTGTCGCTAACTGGGCCGGCACCCTCCACCACGTGCACAGCCAGCTCACAGCACCAGCAGCGGCACCCGGCGCCCAGGCACCCTGTGTCCACCACGTGCACAGCCAGCTGACAGCACCAGCACCAGCACCGGCAACCTGTCTCAAAAGCGCGAAGCTATCTGGGAAAAAGATCCGAATGTAGACCCCCTCACATATGCAAGCTACACCACCAGCACCAGCACCGGCACCCAGCACCAGCACCGGCACCCGGCACCAGCACCGGCACCCAGCACCAGCACTGGCACCCGGCACCAGCACCACCACGTACACAGCCAGCTCGCAGCACCAGCACCAGCACCGGCATCCGGCACCCAACACCAGCACAGGCACCAGCACCAGCAACCTGTCTTCACCACGTGCACAGCCAGCTCACAGCACCAGCACCAGCACGGGCACTCAGCACCAGCAACCTGTCTCGAAAGCGCGCACGGGCAACTCATTGTTATTTGAAGTAAGAACCCCATAGCTTCGCTATCTGGGGAAAAAACATGTCTGGGTGGCCACGTGAATCATTGACTTAAGAATTCCTGACTCTGCATATACATGAATTCCTCACCCTTTTTGCGGCTCCATGCGGTTGTTCACCTCAAATCCTCCTGAAAAGATGCTGCTTAGCCTGTTTCACCCACCGTTTGGACATCGGTCGCTTCCTGGGGCCTTCCGATCCACACTTCCTTTGGACATACATACCCATCCACCCACCCACGCAAGGTTCGGGGTCACCTGCCCGCTAGAAGGACAGCCGCAGGGCATGGGCAGGCTGAGCTCAGCTCACAGTCTGCTCACAGTCTGAGACCAAGCAACGCCTTCACGTAGTTCCAAGCCGGGCCCTTCGGATAGCGAGGATCTCCACAATCCTCAGCGCTGGACGAAAAATCCTGGGACGGCCACTACACACCTCAGCACCGACTTCACAGGTCACCCATTGAAACTTCTTAGCGCCTAACAACCCTCCAAAGGAGACCTGTTGGAAGGTGCTGGCCTACAAGGTGGAAACAGTTCCCGGTCAAGTGGAGGATGACCCGTTGCCTTGGCGCTGGACCCATTAGGCCAAGTGTTCGCTCGCCTGGGCGAGGAACATGATCAATACACCACAGAAGTATCCCCTGTAAAGTTCACACAACATCCCTGCGGGGGGGGAAGCATTTCACAGGGGAAGGGCGAGAGGACTGTGTCCCTTTCCAACACCTTGAGATCAACCCCATCCCGATCCTCAACCGTGGTTTCCCTCCACCTCGCGGTACAGAACTCCAACGGGACCCCTGCATTCAGACGTCCATGCAGACCGCCACTCGGCAGTAAGTCGCCAAGGTTCGACACCGTCGCCACCACTCTGCATCACCCCGCAGCAATTGTTTCGCTGCCTGGCACGAGCCGGTTCGGGCGGGCGCCGGCGAGCGAACGAAGGATTTGTTTCTTACGGTGGCGCGATACATGGCTTACATCTCCGTAACTGCTGGCCCAAATTTTAAGGGTTGTCAATCATGTTTGGCAAGCCTCTAGTTAAGACCAGGTCACCCTGCTCGCAACAACCCTGGGCCAAGTGCAGCTTTTCTCCTAAAAAGACTTTCAGCGGCTTTGGTGCGTGACTGTTCTATAGCTTACAAAAATGAAATCTGTAGACTGTGTTCTACAGCAAGTCTTGTTGTTTCTCTGGTCAAACTGGTCTCCCATGAAGTAAAAAGACTGGCTCGCTTCAGCAACATGGTACAAGTGGTGACAATGATGGTAGTGATGAAGTGATGATGAAAAGGAAACTGGTGTAAACAGCAGAGTCTTCACCGAGGGCACAAAGCGCCGCACATGGAGTTCTTCCTGCAAACTGCATGACTTAAATCCAGAGACTCCTCTTGCAAGGAAGCCACGGTCGCACAAGTCCAGTAACTCAGCCAGTCAGCTGCACGCTTCCTCTTGCAAGCAAGCTGCAGCAACACAAACCCAGAGTTCCACTTGCAAGGACGCCACTACACAAATCCACAGCAGCTTCACAAATCCTGAAATTACTGTCCCAACGCAGCCGCACGCACACAAATCAATGCCCCAAAAGGCGCCGATTACACAAATCTTAAACCCGTCTTGCCAAAAGGCCCCAGTTGTTGTGCTTGATTTTTGCACTGTCGCGTTGGTCATTTAACTGGCCAAGCAAAGGGCGATCCCGTGCAGCAGCCTTCCTCACGATGGTTGGCTTCTCAAAAGGAAACAAAACTATCACAAAAACAACCAGGGTTGTTGGAGTTGGCATGAGCTAAAGGCTCCCTTCCATTTGAGCCAAGAGTCCCCACACGGGTTCAAATGTTCAGCTACACCCAACCTTGCATTCTTTAGGAGGGCTCATGGCATGCATATGTGCTAGGGTCGCGGCTTTGGCCATCCTTCGTTGAAGTCGTCCGGAACATTCTTTGAACCGCAGAACCTGACCACAGAGGGTCAGAATTTCATCAAACACTGTGAAATCAGCCTTTCTTCATTGGGAACGCTGGCCAAAGGCATGCGTCGTTTTTCAGCCAAAGGCACTCGCCATCATTGTACTTCTTCCACCCCTGGCGGTACGACCGTCGCGTCACCGCCCGTGGCACCGTCCGTGGCACGGACGGCGCTCGCTCGCTTCCCTCGCCACCGAGCCGCATTCGGGGCTTCTAGCGGTCCGATCCAGGCGCAATTGCAGCCGTACTTGGGGGCTGTCTTGGCATTCCTCGGTGAAGACCAAACACGGAGGGCTGTTTTTGGGGAGAAGGGGGAGAAGGTGTTGGTGGTGCGCGTCGGGCTGCGAAGAATTGGAAGTCGGTTTTTCGATCTGGGGTGTGCAGGAAGAACATTCCAGATGTGCAAGACATTCATGAAACATCATGAATTGGCATCATGTCCTGGCATCTCCCGGTCACCCACTTTCGGGGGGGCATGGTACCCCTTTCCACTTTCAGAGAAATGTTTGACTAATTGAGGATCTATTGGCTTGGTATTTTCACAGTGAACCTTTTGATATCCTGGTTTGAGGTCAACTCACGAACAGGCCTGTAACAGGTCACTTAGGGGACTCCAAAAAGGTCACTTTGAACAAGCTGGGGTATTTCATCTGTGTTTCTGGGCCGATGGTTTTTTTGAAGTGTCTTATTGAAGTCCAGCGCCTCAACAGAACGCACCGAGCACGTCCACGATCTGGGATGGGGTGGGGTGAGGTGAGGGATTTAAACAATCCCTAAGGATCATTGGACCCTCCTATGGAGGGTTTTGACCCTGCATAGCAGGGGTTTGGACCCTCAAAACCTTCACCTTTGAGGGTCCTTGATCCTTAGGGATGGTATGATGGTAAAAGGTACTTTGTCTTAAGACCCTCCAGACGGAGGGTTCTCCGAAGGGTTCATGTCTCGGAGAGGTTCATGTCATGGTTTTTCGATGTCGTTTTTTGTCGTTTTTCGATGTCGCTCGATGTGCGTCTCGGGTGGGGGTGGGGGAGGGTCAATTAGCACACGAACATGGTTTGATGTTATGTTTCTTTCATGTGAAGTTGATGTTCATTTGCAAACACGTTTCATTCTACGTTTCTTTCATGTCAACTGGATGTCCGGGTGGGGGGTTATGGATAAGTTTCTTTTTTTGGAGATGATTTCGGATCAAGACTTTCAGGTTGCTCTTGTTTTTTCTTACGTTTCGTTGCTTCGCATCGCTGGCTGCGGTCTTCCTTTGACTTGTGTTCGTATCAAACATTCGTTTCGAATCAATCCTTTCACTTTGGACCAGTGTCTGGATATCCTTTCCACTTACTCTGCGGCTGACGACATCCTTTCCTTTGTTCGTGCTTGTGCTTTGATTCCTGATCGTCATTGGTTCGATCCTTCCGAGGTTGCTCACTCGTGTTTGTTGGCTGATGCATGGTTGAGACACACTGCCGGAAAGCAACTTTCACAAACATTGTTGGCTTCTGCGTTTGTTCTTTCTCGACGTTTGTTGCAAATGCGTGAGTTGCCTCTAGCAAGCCACGTTGCTGAAGCCGTGGTGAGACCTCAACCTGCACTCTCTCCAGTTCTGAAGAGAAAGATTGAAGAGTGTGAAGGGAATGCCGAGGCAACCTGGAGATTTGCACTAATCTATTTTCGTTGTGCCTGTTTTAAAGATTGGAATGTAGACTCAAGTGTATGTCCAACCCACTCAATCACCACTGCTTTTCGAATCAAAATCTCAGGCAAGCTTTGCTCACCACAGTTTTGTTGATCCTCCGAGCCCTCAGAACGAGCTAAACAGCCCATGGACGAAACGTTGGAAAGGACTGGAGTTTGACATGTTGTTCTTCTTCTCCATCTCCTAGTGATGGTCCAGTGTCTTCGGTTGTGCTTCGGACTTCTGCCCATGCAACATTCTCGCAACATGCAGGATGGCATCATAGACAAACAAGGGCTATGCAGGCCATGAATCCCTTTGTCCATTTGACATGCGACGACAGTGGGGAGGAAGTCCGTGAAGATCCTACGGATGACAACCCCTCCAGCTCTGCGGGCGCTTTCTCAAACCCAGTGATTCCTTCCGTTGACCAGCAACTTGACAAACGATCAGATACACTTGAACGATACAGAAACACTTGGACGTGGAATAACGTTTGACGGGACGTGTGAAAATCGGTAACACTTTCGGGCAATGGGCAAGTTCTTGGCTAGTCCTGTGTTGCAATGATCTGTGACCGCGACCCAAGGTTTGCGCAGAGTTCCCAGAGCCTGCCATTTGTGGGTCCTCTGGAAACCACACCTACCCTGCTCGAAGACGCTGGCCAGTCGGAAGAGACAGGTCACTCAGGCGAGGGTTTGACGGTGCAGCCTCAGGAAATTTTAGAAGAGCTTCAAGAAGAAGCCGAATTGCCTGAGGTGTCTGTTCCTTGTTGGTTCCCTGGGCAAGAAAAGTTCAAGTGGGGTGGCTGCAAATATCATTGCCAGTTGAGCTTGCAGCCGCATCTGACGAGAAGCGGCAACAGCCACGATTTTGGAAAGTTATTTTTGAGATGTTCCAGCTGGTTCAAGAATTGTCCGGCTGCAGAGAAATGTTGGTACCGCGCAGATTTTCCGCGTGGGCTTTTCAAGAAGTTGCCTCAGAACATTCAGGATGAATATACATCCTTGCGGATGGCTTTTGCACAAGGTCGATGATCTTGGCTTCCGCTCCGCCCACCCAAAAAAAACAGTTCCGACTGTCTTCAGACCCGCTCCTTCTTTCTGTCTCACCGTTTGTTTGGACTTGATGAATGTGGTGAAACGACCAGCTTCCTCCAAGTTTCAAAAAAACTCCGCGGCCTTTTCCACTCATGCTTTTTCCGGTGCCACTTCTCACATATCATTGGCGCTGTCATGCCGGCTTTGAGTAAACATGCCAAATTGCAACCAGCTTCCTCCAAGAGGTCGAAAAAGGAATCTGCAGAGGCAAACCAGGCTTTCAAGGCGGAAGGTCTCAAGTACTCCACACAGGCGGATGGGGATCGGCAGAAGTTGGACTTACGTTCTTTGCAACAAATTAGTTACCCAGAGTTATGCTCTTGGCCTCCTCAGAAATGCTGGAAATATTTGATGGAAAAGAACGTGCTCAGCGATGATATGCCGCTCTGCTGGTCATGTTTGGAACCTATGTCCAGAATCAATCGGGACATCAATGGAGACTTGAAGTGCCAGACAACAGGATTCTACATGCATCCTCAAATGACGTCTCCTCGAGAAGCTTTTACCCCTCTTCATTCTCAAGCGCGTCAGTGTCATGTCTTGAACATTTGACCAAGCTTTTGCTTTGTTTTACTTTGAATACCCCGCTGGCTCTTCGAATCGTGGACCGAAGCGTTACCAGGAATGAAGATGTGGACTATCAGAACTTTTGCGCTTGTGCTACTTGGCGGGCGTCAAAATTCCTCTGGATTCACTTCCTCATCTACTCGATGGTGTGAATCGGGACAGAGTCTTGGCTTGGGCCCGGGATGTGTGCTCAGCTTTGGCCACAGCCGAATATTGTGAAAGCTTGGACTTTGAGTTTGGAGAGGGTATCCTAGAGTATGACACTGCCAAAACTTCCGTGAGAAGAAATCCTGCTTCCCAAGAAGTGTCTCTAGTCATTAGATCAGAATTTTTTGGGTGTCGTGTTTTTGTTTCATCACTGGTCAACCAAATCAGACAAAATACACCATGAGGCGTTGGACATTCAATCAACCCTGACACCGAGGACACAAGCTCGTGCACAACGTGCGAAAGTAGAACGAGCATCTTCCAGCAAATTGAAGATGCCGTTGCCCATGAAGCAGCCGAGAAAAAACCATCTTTAGCGGGAGCAAAGAAAACGGTCCATAAAGGCAGACATGTGATACTTAAACTTCGAAGTTTGGATGGCAAAAATCAGACCAAGAACTACTCAGTCCTGCCTTTGCCTCCAAACGTGGCGAGCAAGGGACATTCAGCCGGTGCTGAATCGTTGCATGAAACAGTTCTGCACGTCCAGAAGAAGCTCAAGCGTGGTAGGACGGCTCTGCTGCCCTCCACAAAGCTGCTAGCATGGCCGGCGTCGCTTCAATCCCTGGAGTGGCCCATTTCGTTTCCTTTTTACACCACTTGGAGCGATTCCAAAAGCTGGATTGGATCGTCCACATTTAGATCTCCTCCGAAAGCTTTGCGCAGATGATCTCTGCAAACAGCGGCGGGATAGCTTCATTCTTTGCGCCGGGGACGAGAGTGTGGCGAGTGTTTCAAAGAAACAGCTGCGCCGCTTAAATCTTCTGTCCGCCGATGCCAGAGATGCGATTGAACATCGCAATCTCTTGGCTGTGCACCGCTTGAACAAAAAGCCTGGCTTGGAGAGTGTCATGGAAGCGTTGGGACTCTTCAGGCAAAAGGCATCGCAAGGGCTGGTCAGTCCAGCTGCTTGCTTCCAGAAGCCTCTGTGGAAGTTGTGAGAAAAGGAGTTTGACATGGAGGATTGGGTGTGGAAAGACATAGAATTCCAAGTCCAAACACCTTCTGAAGAGACATCAACACTTCGAAAACAAGCAAAAATGGCTGAATATCAAGGTGTGCCTTTTCGATTAATGTATTGGTGTTTACAGTACGAAATGATGGTCAGTCATTTTGCATGGCGAAACCCATGGTTTTTCACACTTTTGGCAGGTTCGTAGAACAATGTCTCAAACCTGGAAACCTGCTCCTCAGGCAGTTTCACTCAGATCGGGTTTTTTTGGGAAACAAAAAAAGCATTGCATGCAAAGTCAACTTGCGCGAACAAAAACGAAATATGTTCGCAATCTTGTACTTTCAAAAGAACCACAATTCCTTTCAAAACAAATGCCGAACCCCAGCAGGTTGAAGGTTCACTGCAGTTGTGACACTTTCAACAGAGGATGCAGCTCGGAGAACCTCCCGTCTCCACCGTCTTAAGATTGTATTGAAAAACATCTTAATCATACAAAACGTTTTTTCTTGCACAAGCCATGCTTGGTGATGTCTTCATAGGGTTATTGGCACAAGTAGGGGGAATGGTGACACCGGCAAAAATGGTATGGCGTCTATGGCGTCTATGGCTGCATCACCTTACAGTAGTCGCTTTGTCGCTAGCCCAATACCTGAAATCGTTCGAATGAGGATACCGTACGAGGCAGTCGTTCGACTTGTCGCTCCCTGCGTTCGGTGAGTTTTTTGTTTGAATCAGATGAATGATCTACAGTAGATATAACAGGTTTATAACAGGTTTATATTACAGGAGATACAACAGATATAACAGGAGATAATGATATCATTAGATAACAGGTTTACGGATTTTCTTTATAACTTATAGGCTTGCTGGATGCAAGGGTGAAAAGAGTTACAGCAAGCATGAGAACTATTGTAAGAGCCATTACTGAATTGGATGTGGCAGATATAGCAAAAGCTGCAGATGGTAGGCCAGATATGCACTTTGGTTTTAATGTCATGCCTAGTCCCTTTGATCCTAGACCATTGACAGCAACTTTCAAGCTGCTGTGGAATCTGTGTGGCATTGCCCTTTGTACCTCTCAAAAGGTAGACTTTTTCGAGGGGGTAGCATATGTATATTATATTGTTAATATGTGCTTGTATATTGCAAACATGGTCTTCCTGGCGCTCACAAAAAAAAGAATCCAAACACCGCCGCAATAGTTACGCCGTTCATGGTGAACGCCTGAGAGTGTGAGCACCATTCGAGCCAAGAATCATGTCCACCTTTCCCGAGCCATCGTTTGTCCACACCAAGCACATGTCAGTGTTCAGCATCATCTCTTTCCCTTGGAACGGTGTTTTTTTTTGTTTGTGTTTTTTTTGAAAACGGCCAGACACCCTTGCGGCATGTGATGTGAATGTGAAGCTTGCACGGACCACACTGCAGTGAGCTCGAGTCAACATCTCTACATCTCTCAACATGTCAATGTCTGCCTAGTAGCAACACTACATCTCTTCCTAGTAGCTACTTGCTCCTAGTAGTACGGCCAGTAGCCCCTAGTAGCGTCCTTGCTCCTAGTAGCGATGCCAGGAGCCCCTAGTAGCTTCGTGTTCCCCATTTCTTGAGGAAAAAAGAAAACACTGTCCCGCCTGTGCGTTCCTCCTTCTTGAGTCCTTTGTCGACTCGGACCCATTGGTTCTTCATCGCGTTGCCGCCCACTTTCTTGTCTGGGCCCCAGCCTTTAGCACCCAAGCTCCTGCTCGCGAAAACAGAAAACATAGATCGAATGGTGATCGATCGACGGGTGGGTGAGGGACACGCGGAGTGGCACGTAGCGTCGATCGAATCGTAGATATCGATCGACGAGGTGAGAGGGACAGGCGACCGGGAGAGGCAGCCGAGTGGCACAAAGTAGTCGTTGTTGAACATGCGGCTGTTCCTGAGACCGCCCGCGAACAGGAAAGAAGTAGATATGGATGCGACACGTGCCCAAATGTGTTGCGTTTTCTTTTGCTCACCTCATGCTGCCAAGACGTTTTCATGATACCCGTGTCTTTTTTGGTTTCCTTCCAGCTGACCTCGGATGACATTTGGAAGAAATCGAACGCTTCACCCTTTGGATTTGCTGTGGAAAACAGGCATCGTTCTTGGATCGGTCGAATACCATCCCATTCGCGTCACTCCAAGGCACTTCGAGTCACTCCACCAGCCGTCGTAGCCGGAATTCCCTTTGTGGCCACGACCCAAGGTGTGCACGCCCATGAGAGCTGCCGCCTACGTAGCTCCCAGCCGTTGTGGCGGGAGGGGCGGCAACGGCCAGCTTGACAAGAGAAGGATGGAATTTCAGGATGCGAAAGCCAAAAACGTGACAGTTCTTTGAGGAGCTCCAAGTTTTGGGTCGGCAACGTGAAGCTACTTGTTACTAGTTGCGATGGCCTCCAACCTAATAGTGATGGCCTCCACCTAGTAGCTTCTAGCTACTAGTAGCTTCTTGTTCCTAGTAGTAGTGTCAGGAGCTACTAGTAGCTTCTTGTTAAAAGGTGAAAGTTCTTTG